TATGGCTCTCATTGCCTATCAATCAATGCAAACATTAGTGACAATTGTGTCAAATTGAGTGACAAGTGATACGAACCGACGACAAGAATCCTCTCGGGAACAGTCATCCACAGCCGGTCGTGAGGGCCGGTGTGTGAGGCCTGAGTGCGGGCGGCAATGATGGCCGGGTCGTCGAAGTGGCCGCCGTTGAGGTTGTGGTCATTGATGACAATCTTCTCGGGAACTCTCATCTTATGAGAGATGTCTCGCGTGAAGTCCGGGTCATAGAAGGCGTCAACATTTGCTGTCAATCGGAGCGGACTATTGGCGGTCGAAGACGTGGACATTGTTTGGGATGTGTTGTCTTAAGCGATGATGTCTTCACTCCTCTTCTATTCAGTGATAAACTAATTGAATGAATGAATGAATGCTTTCGTTGTTTACATTCGCCTTTCGCTCAACAAATCCAATGTTTTGTTCGCAAATAACGTTTCATTGATTTGAATGAGAAATGCACTCATAGTTATCAATATTAATGAGTCTAACATGTGTTGCCCTCACTCTCAGGGGTCTATAATTCTTGTTTCATGTGTCATATTGTTTGCTATTATTTCAAACGCTAAGCCTTTCTTATGCAAGACTAGGGCTTGAATTACAGTAGCGTTCAAAGTATGGCAAACAACTGAGAAGAAGCCCCTCTTTGCCCCCTATTATGCAGAAATACTTGTGATTTATTAGATTTAAATAACCATAACTTTAAATTTAATTAAAAATTCAATTCAATTTATTAAGTATTAAATGTTATATAATTATTGGCTTAGGATATAAAGTAATTAAATACATGATTAGCATTGACTTTAAACAGTTATCATTGATTGCATTCACTTCAACACAATTACATTGTCTAATGGTTTACATTAATTGATATATAATTTAAAAAGTTATATAAAATACTTGAATAATTCAATTACAAGACAAAGTATACAAATTTAAAGACAAATATGATCTGATTCTTGCGTTTATAAGAAAAAAGTAATAAAAGTTTGGATAAAAAAATAAGAATTTAAAAAAGTTGAGATAAGAAATCATAAAGAGTAAGCATTTCTCTCATTTCACCACAAATGAGATGATATTCGCAGACATTTTTACGAAGAATAAGCGGTCGACTGGCCATTAGTACGGGTGATGTCTGTGCGTTGGCTCTGATAATACATGTGTTGCGGCGGTGAGGGTTGGGACGGAGGGATGCGTTTGACGAACTGATCCAGACTTTGAACAATAGTGTCGACGTCGGGCTTGGAGTGAATGAAAGCACATCGGGAGCCGAACTCGCAGTAGCCGTCGCTGTGGAAGGCTTTGCAGAGCTTTGTCTTGTGATTCTTGTGCTTATAAGTGGTGGGCCTTCGCTCCCACTCGTGGTGTGCGTAAAGACACCGATCGCTGAACTTACAAACGCCGAACTCCTGGTAATTCTTGCACATCTCGGTCTTGTACCGAATCGGGTCAAACATCGGGGTATTCATCATATATTAATCAAATGTTTGTATCGTTTTCGTCAAATTAAAAACTAATGATGAAGTGATGGCTTTAAAAACTAAACTAAAAGTGTTTAATAAAACGCAAATTTTTGCCTCTTTTATACACTCGCGGATTAATGGGCTATCGCTTGACTCGTATTGACTGGCTTTTCATTAGTCGCTAATCCAATCGCTTATCTCTGCTCTTGAATACAGTTTTTTTGGTTTCCATTTCTAAGAATACTGGGTTTAGTCGTTGTGTTTAGGCATGAGTTTACAAATAGTTTCCCCTCTAATCCCTTATCAATTGATTTAAAGTTTCATACATTTGATGACCGTTTGGTTTGATTTACAAATGGATTGGCATTTAGGAGAACTGATGGCATGGGATGTGCGATAAGTGTTGTCAATGCCATTCATTGCCATTATCTCCAATACCTGGCCGTTAATAATTCAAAAGTTTATTAGCGATGAAATTGTTATTCAAAGTTTTGTAAACATTTTTAACCAAAGGATTAAGTGTTGCAAAGGAATAATACGTGAATATTTTCAGGGCTTTATTTTTCCCCTCATTATATGCCTTTGCATTCAATTTATTTACAAAATTAATAGTTTTTCAAAATTATAAACTAAATATATTTAAAACTGAATGTTTTTGAATTAATTACAAAATATAATAAACTCACAACTAATTTATTCAAAGTTTGCATTTCCAACTAAAACCTCATTCAATAAATTGAGTGATAAATAAGTTGAATAATTATCGTAAACATAATCAAAATTATTTATTATAAAATTTCTTTATTTATATTTTTATAATACAATCAATTAATCAAAGGTTTTAATGTTTAAAGTTATATAAATTTGTCATTTTGTTGATCTACAAAATGTCAGTGAAATTAGAAAATATTTTTGAATTTTTATTCAACAAAAAGATTATCAGAAGAATAAACACTGAAATAATAATCAAATAATTATTAAATAATGGAATAAATAGTTGACAAAAAGAGTAATTAATTGCATTTATGTTTCAATTGAAATATATTAAGTTTTAATGTATTGTTTATGAGTGAAAAAAATTATGAAAACAATTCAGACGACAATTAAAAGACATAAAATTATAATTACTTCAAAAATAATAATAAATAATTTCCAAATTAAAACAAATTATTGAATATAAGCCTAAAACTACAATAAAACCTATTTTTGGGACAATTAGTGTACAGATTGTGTCAATTAAAGAAATGTTTTGGCAATAAATGTATGGAAATTTTCAATGAAGAATAGATGCCTTAAGATATTTGATAAAATCTATTGCAATAGTGTTTTACTTTACATTTTTATTTAAAAAACACATTGTTTTCAATAATGAATAAACATTTGGATGATTAGGAGACGGATGAGGAGAGAAGTGACTCTTCATAGCGCCGACCCTTCTCTATATAAATCTCAGCGTACGGTAAGTCCGCGTTTTGTGTCAATTCAATCGCCTGTTGTTTCTTAAGCACTAACAATGAGAAGAACTTCTGTGCGACCTTTTGGTGACAAACAAATCAATTAAAATTCAATATAAAACACAAACAAATTACTATCAAAATACAGACCTGTTTTCTGCGGTTATGTTTGACCAAATTGGTGAAGAGGAGGGGCCCCTCCTCTAGTTGTGTAACCATATACCTCAACAGGATATCTGTGCGACGTTTGGTCATCCGCTCCTCAAACTGCTCATCCGTCTCGCCCTCAAACATCGGCTCAGGCTATGAGTCGGACAAACAATTCAATCAATCAATTAATACAGAGAGAGAGAGAGAGAGAGAGAGAGAGAGAGGGTGGGAGTCGTACCGGTCCGACAGACATGGGTGCGTTATACATGTCGTCGTCGTCGTCCTCCTCCTGGAAGGTGTCGAAGGGGTGTTGAAAGGGCTGTTCAGTGGCCAGACTTCCGGCCCGAATGTTCTGAATGGAGGACACGTCGCGCAGATGTGAGTCCTGTTCTTCGGGTTCGTCGCGAGTGATGTGATGATTGACGGGCTCTTTGTGTTTGCGTTCCTCTGTTTTGCGCTTCTTTTTGGGCGGCGTTCGGGTATAGGAGGGAGTCTTCGGGGTTTTGGGCGGCTGTAGGTCTTGAATGGGCGACAGTGGGGGCAACTGTTCCTCGAGATCGTCCAACTCTGGCAGCGGTGGCGGCGCGTCGTTGTGTCCATTCATCAGCTCTCCCTCCGGCAACTGGTCCTCCATATCGGCTTCAATACGAGTGGTCGTCAAGTGTCGCGAATAGAGGATCAGTAGTCGAGCGCAGGGCATGAGTCGTTCGGGCAGTGCGAACATCTTCTCAGCGGTTCCCGTCCTCTTCCAGTGCATCAATTTCTTGGAAGGCGGCGCCAAATCCAATGTAGTGATGATGTCTGTGGTGTCCGACAGCTGTGCTTTCATCTCTTCGCCGGAGAGGGTCTTCACCTCATCGATCAAAATGCCTAACTTCTTGCGCCGTTTGCGCCTCTTCTCGAGTCCCTGCGCTTCCAGGGGTTCCAAAACCATAGTGTCGTAAGCGTCGGATATCTTCGGGTCGAGCGAACCGTCCCGTCGGACGCCTTCGAGAGCGTCGAACGACTGGTGCTGTTGTTGTTGCGGTGCGGGAGGAATGGGCGCCGCGAATGGCATCTCTTCGTCGTCGTCGGGAACGGGAGGTACGGATCCGGGCGTTGAGGGCGGACCAGACGGAGCCATCGATGCGGGCGCGCCGTAAGACATACTGTCCGAGCGGTCAGACATCGCAGAGTCCGGCCTTTGAACGCTTTTGGGCTGTTGTTCGGGCACTTCCTGTTGCTGTTGGTCGAGCTGTTGCTGATCCATGGCTTCGGGCGGCACTCGTAGGCCAAACATGTCGTCGTCGTCGTCGACAATACCGACGCCGAGTTCGCCGCCGAAGCCGTCGTCCAGAGCCGGCCTATCGAACAGATCGATACCCGTTTTGGCGCCACTTTTGCCCATCACTGGCGTCTCCTTTAAGTTGATTCCGCCATCACTGGCGTGAATGGACGACATGTCAGACCACTCTCTCACGTCTTGCATCAGCGGGTCGTCCACATGAATGCTGGAGATGTCCTCCACTAGTGTTATGTTACGGATGTTAGCGCTGGTCGCCGGCGGTTCCATTTGCCTAACGGTTCCCACGAAGACATTGTGTTAGTTATAGTATAGACAACAAAACAGCAAAAAGGCATACATTGGCGGCTCAGCGATGAGATCAAAGTCGTTGATGAAGTCGAGCATCTCTGGCAATGTGATGGCACTGATGGCCGCCTCTGTCTTGCCATCGGGCAGATCCACAGCTCCCGGTCTGAACGCAGACTTGATCTTAAAGGCCGCGTCCTGACAGTCCTGAAGCAAATACAGCGTCTTTCGCGCGTAAATGCGGACAATTCCCAGCAGTAGATGAGACGATGTCCTCAACGACAGCTTCACCTGAAGAGAGACAGAGAGACCATCAAAAGGTGTCATCAAAACAATGGCCGATAAGAGCGTACCTTTGGCTGAAGGATAGAGTCGACGCTCTCCACGATATTGGTCTCCAAGATCTGCGCTTTAGTGATCTTTTTGTCCCAATGCGCGGCCAACCAGACTCTGGCCAACGGACCCTTCTTTCCCAACACAAACACCGAGTAAAACATGGCTTACGATTGCCTTACGATTGGCGGCAAAAAGTGCACCACAAGTGGTGGGCGTGTTGTCACCACAACGGATCAAATGCCACTCAATAACACTCTTACGGACACTACAACACAATTAGTGACAGAAAACACACGATCAAAACAACAATCAATTATTTGCAAACAAAACACAACTCAAGTGTTAATCAGTGAATAATTGCAGCCATTTTTGTGTCCAAGAGATGAGTGTTTATATTCGTTACGCATTGAGCCATACATTGAGCCATACATACGATAGCGTCAACACTACTGAACACTACTCTCTCACCCAATACTCAACACTAGTCTTCACTCCATTGGAGAGGAAGAGAAGCCGCTCTTCGCTCACAGCCTATACAGCGCTCGCATTGAGACACTCTCTCACAGCCAATGACACGAACGCCAGAAGACATTCAAAAGTTTGATATGATTTGTGTGAGCCTTACGTTAACTCACATACAAAACAGAGCCACACATTGACTGCCACTCAAAACAATACAAAAAGTTTTCAATTCTTAAACACAATTCAAACTTAAATTACAGACATTTTTATACGGATTTAGTTTTTGAATCCAATTTAATAATGAATTCAATTTGAATGACTGATTGTAACCGACATTACATATGAATGTCAATCAATGCAAACAAAAACACAATTCCTATACATTTGAAGTCAATTGTAATCAAACACTAATTGTATTGAAAATATAAATTATAGACATTTTGCACAATATATTTAACAAATTATTTTAATTACTATTGTTTTTGCTAACAATGAATGAATATCTCTATATTTAATACATAATTGTTTGCCATTTATTTAATCATTTCATTAAATGAGTGCTTTTTGTCCAAACATTACAGAATATTCTTCAATATTAAGTATTTATCGTTTATTCCTATCATTATTCTTGTCTTTTATGACTTGTATCGTATCGATGGTTGCCATCAATGGTTCACACCATCAACACATCCATTGGTGTCCCTCACAGATGATAATCATCGGCCACCAACTCTTGAGGGTCTGTCACTTGCTATCCATTGGAAGCAATCATTTGGTAAAAAGTTGTCATTTTTATCGTTATTTCGTTTAAATTCACATAAATTTACACTAATTTTAGTCAACATTTTGTTCGTTAAGTCTTATCGGAAAAGTGTTTATTCAATAGCGAAGTCTCAGACAGAGAGCGAGGAAGGGGTGAATGGGGTGCGGGAGTGACGCGATCGCCGGCCCAACTGCTGGCAGTGCTGGCGGCCAGCGATGTGTTGGAAGGCGTGGGTTCTGTGAATGTGATCTGCGGTACACCTGAGCTGTCGAACGCATTGTCGGCCAACAGTTTGACGTCCAGAGCAGACGTATAGGAATCCATGGATGAGTTGCTGGCGTTGAGAAAGTCCTCCCTGTCCTCCGATATCTGCATGAGAAACGAGTTGGCCGTATGATAGCTGGAAGCGCTCTCTGTGGACGACTGTCGCGTTTGTTTCGTGTCTTTTCGCTTCTTCTTGAACGGCAAGTCGTACCGAAGCAACTGGTCGTCCGCTGACTGACCCGTACTGTCTTCGATGACAGCGACCACCACTTCGGGCTCCGGAGGCGATGGATGTGAGGGTGCGATGGGATGAGGCAGAGGTGGCGGCGGTTCGGGTTCTGTACTACACGACTGGCGTTTGAAACTTTTGCGCCTTTCGGTCGTGCGATCGGAAGTGTGCCGTTTGACAGACACTCGACGGGCCAACGACGGCGAACCCGTTTGCACAGTCAAGCCATCAGCGGTGGCGCACAGAACCTGTTCCTCTTCGAGGCCCTCCTGTATGTTGGGTAGGCTCTGGTGGTGCAGCCATTGCTCACTTTCCTGAGGCATAGCGCCGGTGCCACTCGTCTCGAGAGGCGTTTGCACTAAAATGAGCGACGGGTCCAACGATTGGCGCCTTTTGTCTATAGAACCGGCGGATAGGGAGGTGTCGGCCGGTATTT